CCTACCGGTCGCCAGGATGTCGCCGACTCTTAATAGCCACAATGGGCATTTATATTGAAAGACACTTTTGGCCACAATGATCATTTATATTGAAAGACACTTTACCTGTATTGACAATAATAGATATATTATGCGTATTCAATTAAATATTCACACACATGGAAACATTAGTTCTTCATCGCGTACCTGTGCTTATATATCATCGAATGCAGCTGAATCGGTTTAGTCTTCCCCGACACGTTTATCGTACTCGTTCGCTCGCGCCGACTTTAAAATTTTTACAAGTGTTTTAAAATTTTTAAAGTGTTTAATTTTTAAATATTATTTTATCATTCCAAACATTATCATTATGTTTAAATGTAAACAGTGCTCATCTGAATTTACACGTAAAGACAACTTGGTTGCCCACCAAAAGAAGCATACGGGTGTACGTTTTCCGTGCACTGTATGCCCATCAACATTCGCTTACAAAACCAGTCTCACTAAACATCAGAAACATTTTCATGGTATCGTACCAGCTCTTCGCCAACCTTATGCGCAGCTCGACCAACCGCCTGCACCGATCGATGCTCAACACACTCAACAGAGTGTCATACAGTTCGCACCTTCGTCTACTCCACGGGGTCATATTCAGGTAGCCCCTCAAATATTTGTCCCCGATGTTCCTGCTGGTGGCTCGAACATGATGTCCGAGGACGAGATTTGCATGGCAGCTATAGACGAATATGAGAAACAGGACTGTAATACAGGTTAGTTTTATTTTATTTATCCACCGCGAATTAGTTTAATTTAAAAGACCTGCTGACTCTATTTTATCCATTGAGGATTAATTACACAAAGACATATCTCATTATATTATAAACCAATAGGTTTTATTTATCACATGCAAGGTTGATTAGATTCGCCATCACATTTTATTTAATTAGGTTTTTTTTTTTTTTTTTTTTTTTAAAGATTCATACACCGTTGCCGTTAACGGGAAACGGGTTTCCACCGCCAACACCACGTCGGCTGCTAGGGCGAAAAAAGTGCGCATGAGCCTAGTACAGTCTCCCGGTTTTGTTGAGATTTCGTCCTCAGCAAATAGAAAAATTGTATGGTACTATGCCAAAAATGCTAATAATACAATGATTTATACCGAGTTTCTCCGATCGCTCGAGCCCGAGCTAAATCAAATATTGAAAACACGCGTTCAGCAAGAAGCGATTAAATTTAACCTTAAGCTCGAGGCGACCTATAACCGGCCCAACGTACCAAACTCGTCGGAGAACCGGGCGTTTAAAACAACAGCAACCGAAATTTATCCGGATAGTGATATCGACTCGATAGTAGAACAAGCGTACGTAAAATTATTAGCTGAGGAAGACGCTTATGTTTCTCGCGGTAGTGGCTTTACTTTGGAAGCCATAGACGGCTTATTATTAGGAATATACAAATATACACCAATGACTGGGTCGTCATATATTGAATTACCGGCATACATCGACAGGAAACGGGCCACCATTAACCCACAAAACAATGACCATCAATGTTTCAAGTGGGCGATTCTTGCGAGACATGTGACAGGAGAAAACAAATTTCGTGTCAATGAAAACTATACACAACATGAAGGAAAATATAATTTTAATGGTATTTCGTTTCCAACACCACTATCGGATATTTCTAAATTTGAAAAAAATAATCCGAACGTCACTGTGAATGTATATGGGTTAGACAAAAAATTCCAGCCACCGCGTAAATACCCGACGTACGAGGTGTACCCTCTACGTGTCGTTGATGAGGAGAAAGCCAACCACTTTGATCTGTTGTTGGTGACGGACGACGAAAACTCACACTACATCTACATCTCGAATTTTTCCCGCCTTATACGCTCTCAAAAGACTGGACATAAAGAAAGAGTAGTGTTTTGCAAGAGGTGTTTCACATCATTCGATGACAGGCGGCATAAATACAAGTTGAGCGGACAGGAGGCGTTAACTCAGCATAAGCTTATATGCGGTACACATAAGCCGATATTACCGGTGATGCCGAAAGAAGGTGAGTGTCTGCAATTTGAAGCATGGAGAAACACTCAGAGACATCCTATAGTAATATATGCAGATTTCGAAACTATACTTGTAAAGACGGATGAGAAGAAGGGGGGAAAAACAAAAATAATGCATAGACATGAAGCGATGAGCTATGGACTCATTGTGAAGGCGAGCAATGACGTACCGACAGAGCTATTGAGTGAACACAACATACCAACGGAACCAGTGATCTACCGAGGAAGTGAGAGTCAGCCGGATGTGGCGAGACATTTTGTCGAAACCGTGACGGATATATCGTTGAAGATTGAAAAGTTACTGAAGACGAATATACCGATAAATATGTCCGCAGACGACATACAAGTCCATGAAGCAGCGACGCACTGCAATCTATGCAAAATTGAGTTTACACCACCTTCAGAAATACAGC